AATTGTATGCTAGTGTGGGTTTCCTCTGGGTCCTCCACTTTTCTCCCACAGTCCAAATACTGGTAGATTAATTGGCTTCTGGGGAAGCCAGTTTTGTTGTGAGTGGGTTTGTGTCAGTGTGTCTTCCCTGCAATGGACTGTTAGGGTGTATTAATCCTTGTGCCTGTTGCTGGTAATTGGTAAAGCAATTAGAAAATGGATGGATGTTAAAAATGATTAATAGTGCTGAGGACGCAGTGTTAATTAAAGATTAGAATTTGTGCTAGACATATATATATCGAGATCATTACATTCATTCAATGGGGGTGTGAAGATGTATAAACTGATTAGATTTAGAATATACTGACAATCAGATTTAAGGTGCATACAATTGAGAGTGCTGACAGAACTGTTGGTTTTGAGGCTTAAGAGTAGGTTTAGGATCTTACAAGGTATAAATTGTAAATGTTGGAGTAGTTATAGTAAACATTTTTCGTGTTAGGTTTAGGATTTTTAGATTTAATTTAATCAATGTAGACTTACCTGTGAGATGTATCTTCTTCATCAGATCTTTCCACACAGAGAGGAAGAGGCAGCAGAGTTCTTCCCTCCACTGTGCCCCGCAGGATGGTAACTTGGTTTGTGACTTTCTCAATGTGTTTCCTCACATCTTCAGACACCACCCTGGGCCAACCAGCATGATTCTTTGTGTTGGCAAGAGTGGGGACCAAGACCTGCACACAGATGAGTTACCTGACATCTGTGCTTCTTATTAATGCAACAGACAGGATTCTCTTCAATATCGAAAGAAGTGCCATAAATTTAGATTACACATCATTATACATTACCACAGAGTTTATCCTTAAAGGGCTTGATGTTGGTTATTACATAGAAAAAAAAATAATTGGTGATTAATTTGTGAAGACTGAAACACAATTTTTATTTCTTTAATATCCAGTTCTCCATAGATTTACCTCAGCGATGAGAACTGGTAACTGATCCAAAGGCTGACAGGATACTTCTCCAAACCCAAGCTCTCGTTTGAAATTGGTCTTGGGCACTTTCCTGTTGCTTTTCCTTAAGACACACAACAGTTTTGTTTTCGAGGAAAGAGGGGTCTTTAAAGGAGAAATAAAAAGGCAATATAGGATGAGGAAGGTGGTATTCAAAGTTTAAAAAAATATTTTGCTAATAAAGTGGTGGAGATTTCTTCATGCAGAACTGTTTCTATTTCTAAAACCTGTAAACATTTAAGTAACTAGCTTAGAGAACTGGAATAACTCATAAACACCTTGATAGATCATAGATCAGATTTCTGATTCAGCATGACTAGGGAGGAAACACAAGTGCACTGAAAAAAAACCTCTCCAAGTCCAATAGCAAAGTGCAAAATTCAAAAATGAAATGGTCAGTATTTTCTGAAATTGACAGAGCATCTTGTCGTGACTGCAGGCATTTTTATCACACTCACCTCTCCATTACTAACATGCAGTGTTCCCCCTGGGCCGGTGAAGAGAATCAGCCTGTTATAGCAGGCTTTATCTAGAAAGTCCAGTAAATATTTCTGGTTTTCCTCTGCGGCAATGAACCGATTCCATTTATCAGTTTTGAGACGCAGAGAAGTGAACGCCTGCTCTCTCAGAAAATCAATCCTGTCGTCGGTCGCTGCACTTGTCTTGAGAGGCTCCAGCGGAGTTCTGATGCTACTTTCAGCCATATCAGAAATCCTTTCTTGTACAGACAACTTAGGTTATTAAAAGGAAAAAGAATAAAAAGGAAATTAGCGTTTGCTTACACAGCCATAGAAACAGAAAAATCTGTATACCTGAAACAGTGGAAAGGGCTCTCTTTTGTCATCAGTAGACCTGGGCTTACTCCCACATGAATACTGCAAGTAATATTAAATAACCTGTCCAAACATTTTCTTCATGGTTCAGTAAAATTCTTATCATGAAGAAGGGAACAAAATCATACAAAGTTTGTTCTTTCCTTTAAAACCTGACTTCACCCGCTCACTTTTCAGAGACAAACCACTTTATCTCTTCTCTAGGGCAGACTCCAAGCAAATGATACCTCAGTGGAGTGTCAGGTGGCCTGGCACCGGAGTGACACAGACAATGGGCCACAGCATCTCTCTCCTGACACAGTCCCATCTCGGTGTGCGGCCTGCTGTTATGTCACTGTCACATGAGCATGCTGCACACCTGTTTCTGCTGCAACTTGATCACCGACAGGCTCCCTAGAGCGCCTCACAAGCTCTCTCACTGCTCAGCACATCCACTCCACCGCACCTGTGCCTCTGAATTGTTAACCTTCTACAACACTGGTAAATGAACTCTTGAAGGTTTGGTGAAAATTGTGGGAAATTCGTGACAAGGAAAGTCATAACTGCACTTGCTAACATAGGGTCAAATGGCTGGCTTGCTGTGGTGGGTTGAAGCAGAACGCTTCAAAGACTAATCAGGAGTCAATATTTATGCCAATGAGCAAAATTACCGTGATACCAGACATTCAAAGTTTGTTTTACAATGTTAACAGATGGCGGAGGGAAGGATTACCTGGGCAGGTTTAACAAGCAGTCACAAAGATGCAGGAAGAAAATGAACAAAGAGCTCAAATCACCCCTAGTCCTAAAAGCTTAGTGATGTGTGAATTTTGCATATCAAACACTGACCTTGACAAAGGTTTGGTCTTATAATTCACCATAATATTGTCCCCAATCCTTTTATCAATCGGAATATTATGTGGTCTCATAACAAACTGCAGGCTGGTAGAATTATGATTATTGGAAAAACATGGCCCAGAATTAGAAACAATATTTTAGCAGCTCTGAAGATGAAAAATCTACTATACTGTATGTAGAAGCAATGCCCTGGAAACCTAAGTGACTCACTTCAGTGAATGGGTATAGAGTTCAAGAACTTGAGTTCATATATATATACAGTATATAAATGTGTTGATTCATGTCTTTAGGAAAAAGCTCTCGTCGGCTGGAGCAAACCCGTCTTGGCCAATCGATTTCTTTGCCATCTGTGGCTCAGTTTGCTGCCTACATCTGCACTTCAGTTTGAAACGCACTCGAAAGAACTCACCAGACATATGCTGTGGAGGAGCATGGAAATGAATTATACAACTCTTTCATTCCTTGTTTCTAAAAAATAGGGCTCCTGTATCTCGGGCTCCCCCAATCCTCCACTCCATCACGCAATTTTCTTGCAACAGGCTCCTTTATTATTTAATTTATGATTGTCAAGGTCAGTTTAACAATTAAGGAGCTGGTCGCATCAAAGTACTGCACTGGAGTGGACTGGAAGGGCTCCAAGTTAAGTTGCACAGTCCTGAAGCACCCACTTGCTAATTTAAAACATAAGAACATATTTCCAGAGGTGAAAAGAGATTGCATTAACTGTAAAAGTACTTCATCCTAAAGGAAAGTCTGACTTTCCTCCTACCAACTATTATGAATTTGGTAAAATGGCAGTTAAACTATTACAATGTGCTGATTTGCATAACGAAGAAATTAATCGGACTAATTAGCATACAAGCAAATGATGATTCCGTTAACACATTTCATTAACTCAAACTGTCATTCCATGTTCGTTGTGCCATTAGGTGTTGCATTACACTGAATTGAATTAATTAAGTTATGCAAATGAGTTATTACAGGAAATTTACTTGTTCTTACTTTTACAGGCAGCGTTTTAGGAACTGCTGCTGCTTTTCTCCAATAACTAAGCAGATCTAAACCCAGAATCACAATTGTCAAATTATTTTGAAAGTACACTGCAATGTGTACACTATGTTGTCTTCCATGCAGAGCCCATAAATAATTGAACATTGTTGCATTACCATAAAACAATTCATACAACGTGAACATGAGCTAAATATCCACAGTAAAAAAGCAACATTCTTGCTGGAGGAATATTGCGTTCTGGGAAATAAACCTAATTTACTTCAACAAGCTGCTTTAGTAGTGTACAAATACCCAACATTGTCAGAGAGGAGCACAAAAATCTACACTGAAGGGGTGATGCTAAGAATTATAAAGTGTGAAAATCCAGCATTATGGCACAGAAATACTACCCAGTATGTTTTGAGTTCTGATTTCAATATAAAAGGTTGGTTGATATAGATACCATATAACACATCCAGATCTAATAAAAGGCCTTTTTTCTACTTCTACTCCAAACTCTGCTAGAAAACACCTATAAACCAACTAACAGTCTCCACATCATTCCACTGATGCCATGGCTGTGGTTTGCTGTGTGACTTTAGGAAGTTTTGTGCTCTTTCCATTTAATACCCGAAAACACAGCACTTCAGAAGCAGGCACTGCCAGCGACTGCATTAGTTAACATTAAGGCCGTATTACTCATCCAAAAATGTTTTTGCTGAGAAATGCCTTGTGTGAACATGCAGGTCCCACTTGACTCACCTCTCTGCTGCTCCAGTCAATGTGTTCCATCAGCCACTTCAGTCACGGTGGGAGTTCTCCCGGGCATAAACCTTGCTCCCAAATCCCTTGTGCATTCTCAGTGCTATAGAAACAACCTGAAGGCAACTGGCTTCTTGGGAAACAATGCTACCATGGCACACGGAACAGTGCTCCAACACTGCTCCCATGTCCCTGTTGTACGACTGGTATAAAGCTGTTCTAGGTTAGAGGGGCAAGACTGAAATCCAGTTTCAGCTTTTTACTTAAAATGATTTTCCACAGCCATTGGAACCACATTGTTAGACCACACAAACATCTTTCAAAAAAAGTACTCAAAATGGGCTGTCCATATAGTCCTGAAGGCCTTCTGCCAACTAGACCATTTTCCTATAACAGTTGGTTGACCATATTCTCTTTACTGAAAAATACACTTCTAGTCCGAATACCAGTGAGGTGTCTCAGCACAATATGGGTGTTAGAACTGGGGCTTCTTATTTGGCTAAAAGTGCCAGATCTTCTCTGAATTTAATTGAAAACACAGTACTGCAGACTCGAGCTATGTTCAATAACTATCCACAAAATAGTATCAAATGAAAAGTCAAAATAGTGTTTTATTAGTGACCACTTGGGTATAATATATTTCAAATACATCAAGGTAGATTCTGAATTTCAGGTGGCCTTAACAAGTACAATATTTTAAAATATTGTCAATATTTCTTTATACAAGTTAATCTATTGAAATTCTAGTCACTGGATTAATTACCTCCAGTGACAAGACTATAGCACTCATTTTCCATCTACTTTAATCTCACATTACACAACCTGCATAATGAAAGTCAGAAACATTGCTATATATAAAAATGATATAGGAATATTTTGAGAGAAAAAAAAGACAGGTACATATTTGAACAGAGCAAGAAGAGAGTGCATAGCCTACACACTTTCCAGGGCAGTATAAAAAAAAAACCAAGACAATGCTCATACAAAAAAAGAAATTAAACTGCAGTCGATTAGAAAATGTACAGTACTTAAACGTACAGTACTAGCAGAAGGTTTTCTCTCGAGACTATCTTGAATGATTTAGATCTCTGTGTTTTTACCTGAAATTATAGGAGTGTGGTCACAAATGAGACCAGCTCCTATCACCCAGCAGTGGGAAGATGGAGATGGGAGGGGGGTTCACAAGAAATTTAGCAAAAAGTAATTTTAAGACCCTGACATATACATTATTTTGACACAGCATGTAAGAAATAGTGGCTGCATAATTTTCTTCTTCTTTTGGTCCATCGTCACATGATAAATCTATATTGTCTACAATAATCAACACATATCAATGAAATGTGGTTGTGCTACTTTTTCCATCCAATATTATTGCAAGTTGTTAGGAAAATAAAATTTGGCAAATCAACCTTTTAACATGGCTTTTTTATAGAAAGGATTCAGACTTTAATTGAGTTCCATTTGAAAATGAAGTTTTACAAAAGTAACACATTTGAATATTATACATATTTAAAAAGTAATTAAAATAACGAGGTTTCGATACAACAAAACCGGTTTACTAAGTAAAGCCTACTATAAATAGCTTTCGCTCAAAAAACAATTTGCAAGTTATGCATATTAAACATCAGATCAACGGACGTACAAGGAGGGAAAAAATACAAAATTTTAATTACACGATTGTTTTCTTTTGCTCTCTGCAAAATACCTCAAAGGCGAAACAAAAACAAAAGGTGGTGAAACTCCAAATGCTGACAGTTCAGGCAGACTCCACTTTTTGAGTCCGTTTAAAATGACACAATTTCAGAAACGACATTTTAGAAGAAGCTGTGACACACCTGGACTGCTCCTGGTGGACACTGTGCCTAGACGTATGATGAGTGAGTGGACTTGATTCTGGAATTGGAGGCAGAACTCTTCCTTAATTACCCGCCTTTAAAGTATTCACATCCACAATTTCCCATTTAATATATATTTAGGTTAACAAAGCTCCCATACTCTTAATTCTCATCTGTACCATTCTTTTCATATTACAGAAACTTTTTTTTCAGATCTATTACACAATGAACAGTAGCTAAAACCACATGCAACTCCACCATTATACTACAGAGTATGATACAAAATAAGGCATTTCAGTGTGTGTATTGTAACCACATTAATTTCATTTTTTGCCCCATCAGTAAAAAGACTGCTAATGAACATAAACTGATATTTCTTTAAAATATAATATATATATATAAAAATGAAAAAAAAAAACACGACCAAATAAGTTCAGTTTGTGAGTGTGGTTACTCCATCACCTCGCTGGCAGATACCGTGACCAGCTGTAAAGGAATTTCAGAGTTGGAGAGAATCTCTTGAGCACTGGCGTTTGTCGAGTTCACCGTTCCAATGCTCTGTACGGACCCCTGTTGAATGTTGGTTAGGATAAGGGTTGTCCCTCCTGCTGTAATAATGTTATCGGACGACGATGTTGTTTCCACCGCTGCCATCATTGTACTGCTTGAGTTAATGCCTTTTTTGTTCTGGTGAGTTTTAATATGCTTGGCAAGGTGATCGCTTCGCATAAAACGCTTGGAACATTCCGGGCAGACAAACTTCTTCTCACCTGTCACGGAAATAAGACAACTGTTTTTAGAACAAGGTCTTGAAAGAAAAAGAAAGAAACCCCTAAAAAAAAAAAACAACACTTCTCTCCATCAAGAAGCTAGAGCTATCCAAATCCTTTATATAGCCACCTACAGGCTACAAATTCTCAAAGCAAGACAGAACATCTTCGATCCATGCACAAGGTGGAAGGGTGATGTTGTGGGTAGCGGTGCTGCGTCACAGCTTCAGGGTCCCGGGTTTGAATCCGACTCCGTTCGCCTGTTCTGCTACGCTTGAGTGGGTTTCCTCCAGGTCCTCCAGTTTCCTCCCACTGCCCAAAGACATGCTGTCCCAGTGACCTGCCATCTCTAAAATGCCCCCCTCATCTGCACTCATGTGCGTCTCCCGCGATAGACTGGTGTCCTGCCAGACTAGACTCCAGTTCAACGGATGGCCAGATGGATGGATAGTACTGCTTCGTCACATTAAATATAACATTTTTCCTCCCAAACGATCTGCAAGAACTTTTCATATAACAGGGGATCTACTTCATCCACCACTGAAGTGTAGCAGCCATCTAGATAACATGCAGCAGCCTTTACATGCCACACATGCACAACTGAAAAAGAGATTTTCCTGATTATTAACACTAGAGTATCACTTTACTAAGAATAACTCATCTACAACCCTCTATTTTGTGTGTTCCAGTGTGGAGTGTTTAAAACACACTGAATTTCCACTGGACATACACTCCATGTCCAGGCTAAGGACAATTACTACTCTGAAAGAAAAAATTACAATCAGAACTCTTCTTTGTCTAGCAGCTGGGGAGCAATAGTGTTGACCAATAAGTAACTATTCCTATGCTGCTGCAAGCACGGCAAAGAACTACAGGAAAACCTTCAGCCTGCATCCCAGACAGCACAGGTAAAGTGAATTGTTGGGTGAACCAGCCTGTTAAACGGGGGGAAGGTTTTCTAAAAGGACTAGATGGTAATTTGCATTGATTTCATTAATCAGGCCAACCCTATATATTTCCCAGGATGGAGTTAAGCACCTAACACAGAAGATTTGCATTTCTAGTATGCTCTCAAAAATACTATCTAAGGAGAATGAGGACTGATGACAAAACGATCCAGCTTTCTGAAAAAAGCTGAAAACGTTTTTGAAAAGCATACACTCATACACCAGCCTGGTGCTTAAAAATAGCCTGGGGCTTTGGGACATAAATATAAAAACTTTCTGAATATCTGTGATCAGAGGAACTGGTAGATCTAGTCTTCTATATATGGTTGCCTAAAGTCAGTTCAAAATGCTACGTTTTAATACAGACTGTTTTATGGAAGGGACAAACGTAGGAACACATGGAGCTGTTTTAAGAGGATAGCAATTGCAGATATGAAACCATTGTTCAAAAATATACTGGTGCCAGTACACTAGAGGTAAAAGATAATGCACTGCCAGCTCCTCAGTGGCTCAACCAGTACAGACGCTCACTTGGACAGCAGGAGGAGCCCATTAACCAAACACTGGATGAGGGAGCAAGGGATCTCAGTGGTCAACTGTGACTCTTTGAAAGGTGACACACAACGGCAAAGCACCATGCAAATGAGGCTGGCACCATTAGTACTGGGGGCATGGCGACAACAAAAATGGTTAAACTGGGAACATGCGGAACAGATGGTCACTTTAACTTAAAATATTGATAACTGATGAGAATTAATCACTGGTTCTTCCAGCAGAACAGCTGTCTGGTTATTATATTATTATAGTTAGGCATCCGCCCACTATCAAGAAACCACCATGAAAATGGCACCAGCAAGCTGAAGACCATTCCAAACGAGTAGGGCAAAGGGATTAAACCCTGGGTGGGACACCAGTCCATCACAAGACGCACACGCAGACAGGGACAATTTAGACACACATCAATAAACCCCACTAGCACGTCTTTGGTAAATAGGAGGAAACCACAATGCCTAGAGAAAAGTAGGTGCAGGGAGAACATGCAGACTTCAGTATAAGGAATTTCTTCCCTCTTGCACCAGGTAAAACCTATAAAGCAGTTTCTGACTTTTACTTCCACATCCCTTACATACAGTGCCACTGTCAAATAAAGATGATCGCGATTCCCTTATGTGAAACATAGCAGCAGCAGCTTCTGCTGGAAACATGAAGGCATTACTGAACACCAGCCCCTCTTTCGCGATGACTCGGGCACTGCTCATTGTTTCATTTTGTTCCTTTGACGTGTGTTTCTTTGCTGTGCCCTCTTGTCACCTTCTACCCGCTGAAACTGACAACACAGTTATAGAAAACATTCCAAGCCTTTTCACTGTTTATTCACACAGCATGACCTGATAAACTTTAGCCCCTTTCTGTACCTTCCCATGAATTCGCTACTAACCCAAAGGGCCAGGGTGGGTTGAATGGCCTACTCTCGTTTAAGACCCTTTTAATATCCTAATGGAATATATATAAAGGGGGGAAAAGGCACACATGGAAGATATCAGATAGGAATTCTGAGGTGTGCAGGGTGAGATAAAGATCTGATTGTGCACACGTTCAGTTGTTTTGGATAACTGTTTACCAATAAAATGAGAACGTTAAAAAAAACATTTTACAGAATTGTCGTGAAAAATAATGTCGTCTGTTTGCTATTTGAGAAAACAACCTGAAATCATAAGCATCGCTACTGCCATTAGAGGTTTTGGGGTGTAGCCCTGGATCTCTAAAACACCTGTCAGTGGTGTATGTCTCTGATTTTACATGACATTAAGGATGCATGTATGAACGATTTCTATACAGTAGTTCCACAGACCAGGGAATCCTAATCCAGGTACACACCTAATAGTTTTCATTCTTGCTCGTCCCAATTAGCGAACTAAAGGGTTAATTGAACAGCGGCTTGAACTGGAAAATTTGATTTTTCTTCTATTCACAAGCCTAGGATTTTGTTTTCCTTATGAAATGCAGCCCTCCCTTTCCATTGACTGTTGATGGCAATTATTAGAAATTGTCACAAGATACAAATAGCATAGTATTTTTTCTCATAATAGTGTGTCGTTTGGCTGAACAAATGTTATTCATGATTAAATGGACATTCAGCAGAAATGGACACACTTCCTCCCTTATTAGTACATTAAACCAAGGGTTTACTGTAGTTAAAAGGCAACCCCCAACAGGTTTAAGAGCTGCAAACAGTCAAACAGTTGAAATTAATCCTATTATTAAAATAATTAAGGGTTCAATTGTGTAACTGAGAGCTTGGCTGGAGCAAAAACCAGCAGGCGACTGGTCCTCCAAGAACCCCTTTCATTGCCCTTACAAAAAAACAACCTAGGTCATCGAAACTCCCGCGTGAAATAATAATTATAAAATATGCAAGAATAACAATTGCAATCAACAAGTGTGAAGAAACACAAAGCAGCATATGCTGAGCTAAACTCAAAAACACAAATGGATATTTCAATGGCAGGGATGCTGGTAGGCAGCTCACAGGTACGCATCCCAGCGGCAGGGATTTCAAGTGGACAAGACCGGTGCGTGTTGCTAGAAGCACTACGCCTGTTTGGTTCAGCAGGCTATCTCAAGGGAAATTCTGTTGCCACAGTGCTGAGACAGGTTTGTTTGTTGTAAAAACAAGCACACGGTCGCTCACTGTGTTCTAAACTGAATCTCAGAACTTCAAAAGCCTGTTGGCAACTTCTTTTGCTGCAGAGCAAAGCCTTCCAAAAAAATGACTGCAAGGCTGGCAAAATGCTCTGAATAATGGTTACTGTATTAAAACCTAGAGAAACCACACACAAAAAAATGTTTTCTGCTTTCCTTTGTCATTTCACGTGCACGGGTATGTATTTGTGTGCTAGATCTCCTTGTGTATTGTGCATGTCTAGTGCATGTCTGTCCGCGAACCCAACGGAATGCCGTTCTCTACCAAGCTAATACGGCAAAGGGCTGCTCTCTGGCCTTTTATTCACCCGAAAGCTTCAATACCTGCCATTTTCTCCATAAACCAATAAAAATCGGCCTTTACCATCTAGGAAAATTTCTGGTTCGGCCTGGCTTGCAGCCTTTGCCACCGCGATCTCTCGTTCGCTAGGGTTCTCTAACCAACCCCATCGCGCAGACAGTGTATAATCTTGGCCTGGTTTCATCTTGAAACTCTTACGCCACCCGACGTCCTACGTGTGGTCTCGGTTCTTGTTCCGCACGGTCTCTTATGCGCGCGCTGTCTGGAATAGTTTTCTCCTGGTTTGCAGCGTTACCCTTTCCGGTTGTGGCCGAAAAGCATTCTAGTGACGTGAAAAGGGAGCCAGCACAAGAAATCTGAAGTTCCATGCTCGCATTGTTTCGCAATGCTGTTTGCTTAAATTACAGCTGTATTCTTACTGTACAGAAACAAGTAAAGGTTTATCCCATGCTGAAAAGAGAAGAAAAGAAACACAACGTTTCGGCTGTGGAGAGGAGGCCTTTTCACTTCACACCTCTCTCAACATCATACCACCCGAGTGTCCACTCTGCATTTCTCCTGCTCCCGCCTCCTCTCCACTCCCAGCTTTTGTCCTCCCATGCTATATCAGTTGCCAACTTTCCTCTCTTTCTCACAACGGAAGAAGGCTCCACAGCCAAAACTTTGTTTCTTTTCTTCTCTTTTCAGCATGGAACAAACCTTTGCCTGTTCCTTTGCAGCCTACGTATGCTGATGCAGCTACCTAAATGAAATACTTCTTACTGTATAGTATAGAGTAATATTTTAGTAATGTAAATTTGTTTATCCATTACGTCCATTTCTCCACAGATTTCAGTATGTAGCAAAGACAGCAAAGCTTGTACTGCAAAGTCTGATGAATCCTCTTACACTTGTGAAGTCTGCTGCCCTCTATGCCAGTGCCCTGGTTTTACGGTCTGATTTACCAGTAAGGGTTTACCTGTGTGCGTCCTTCTGTGCCGCTGTAATTCGTCGCTGCGCGTGAACCTTTTCCCGCAGAACATCCAAGTACACACAAAGGGCCTCTCGCCGGAATGCCAGCGCAGATGGGCTCTCAGGTGCGACGTCTTCCCATAAACCTTTCCACAGCCAGGAATGTGGCAGATGTGCTGCTTCTTTTTCCCCAAACTAGAACCTCTGAAAGACAGGAAGACCGACACACAATGACACAACCCATCACGGCGGGCACATAAGGTACACCTCTTTTGAATCTGCCCGACCAATACCCTTGTATTCGCCCATTCTTCAAGAAAATGGATCGTGCTAAAACACCACCAAGAACCAATGACCTCAACATGCTGAACCATTGATATTTTAGTCAAAGTACACCACCGACACAGGAGGATTGTGAGGTGTTACAATCCAGGGCGCTTTAAGAAGTCTTCCTGATCTGATTTTACTTTTCTTACAAACCCGAAAGACTGTGCACGTCGTTCATAAGCCTTTATTTATTATGTCGACCACAACGTACAAAACCACATACAAGAAGGCTCTGTAAAGAGCATCTTTGTAGAAGATAAACATTTCATTCTGAAAAATTTCATAAAAATGAAATACTGCTGCCCACAACACTAGCCATAAACAGCAAATTTCGACAAAAAGTGTTGTTTCATTATATCACGTGGTTCAACATATGTTCATTGCTCACTCTTTAATAAGCAATATAACTGAATGTTAAGAGGGCGATCCTGCAGAAACTCAGTTTCTAAACCTGCGAGTGAACATTCACAGTAGGACTCGGCTTCTCCTCCTCTCCACTGACTAACTTTACCATCTGTATCCTCCTTTCCTCCCATTCTTGTCAGCACTAATCCAGCCTCTCTCTCCTCTTTCTCCTCGCACTCATCCTCTCTTTTATCCTGCCGTGCTCTTTGATGCCCTCTGGATCTGCCAGTCTGCGACAAACAAAACAGACTGCATTTCTGCCCATGTTCGCCATTGCCCCTCAACCCTTTCACTCTCTCGGAACGCTGGATCTCCTCCTTATTACACCTAATATATCTCCACTGTCGGCTTTTTCATCATTTTATTGACTAAAAAGTCCCATATTTATGGGTAATGTTGCCATTCTGTCAACAGACAGCACTTTCGGTGCTATTCGGTGGCGTATTTCTGTAGATTAAAAAGTATGATTTTCTTTTCAGAACTGGGCTGCCTTGCCAGTTTTATTTGCTGTTAAAGGGGAGCAGCAACACTATTTCTGTATTCCGGGGTTAGAAACAATTGGCATCGATAAGTGCATTTCAAACCACAATGAAAGTAAAATGGGCACAGTCATATGTAAAACCTCCAATTTACATCACAATATACACAAAATTCCCAGGTATGTGCAGCTCATATTGCGGTCATTGTCTCCGATTCAAAATGAGTCAACAAAACTTCCAGTGACGTGACACAGCCTTATTACATTGTAAACAAACAGGCTTGTGAATACATCTCTCTTCACACAATAGAAAAATGTATCGCGACTTCCAGAAGGTTTTGCCAACAAACACTGCTTTCTTATGAACTCTGCACATGGATCACAATGGAACATTTCTGTGGTGAAATCACATTCGTACTCGTACATCACATTACATTAGTCATTACGGTGACTAGTGAGCAGGAAGGGCCTCTTCATGTCACAATTCGTGCCAACTTTCACTCTTGCCTTTGGCGAGACCAGCAGCTTGCAGCAACATGGCAACCATACAGTACTTCCACAAGGTTAACAATTTTGTGCTTAATTTGGAATTTGCCAAATTTAGCAATTCCGTCAATTAATTTAAGATTTAACAGCCAGTCTCAGAAACTGGCACTGCAGTTCCCCCAGTTCCTCCTTCCACTTCACCTTCACCATCTCCCCTGCTTCTGTCCTCACCAGGAGAGCTACCGCGCCCGTTTCTGCCATTTTGTTTCTCATTCTGGAAAGCAGCGTGGAAACAGCTCACCTCCCGCCCGCCTCCTTGCAGTTGGGGCAGGTGCAGGCGACCCGCCTGAGCCGCTTGCCCTCCTGGTTCTGCTGGTCCGTCTCCTCATCCACCAGCCGGACCCGCAAGTGAGACAGGTCGCTGGTGTTCAGGGTGGAGTCGCTGCCCAGCTGCCACTCCTCCGAGTCTGGCTCCTCCTTGATCTGGATATCTGAGAAGGCAAAAGGATCTCATGTTCACGACGGTCACGCCATCCCCACTAGGCTATAGCTCTGACTTTTTCCCTTTATAACCTTGAAGATCACATTTAAATAGCAAATCCTAAAGGCACGCAGACTTGTGTCCACCATAAAAAGAATCACTCAGGATGCTAGAAACTAATCATACGTACTGTGCTTTGCAAAGACATTCAGGCCCTGAACAATTTCATATTCAGACACATTACAAATACCCCGTGCCTTGCAAAAATATTAATATTTGATTCAGAGCCTCAATGATCAATCTAAAGACTTGAAACAGAAAGATAGTTACAGTAAAGTTCAGCAAAAACAGCAAAATGCTCGGAGATCGCTTACAGACTGAAGTTATCCTGTGACAGGTGTTTCTCTAGCATTGCCTACACTTTGTTCCATCCATTTTCCGTTCAATCCAAACCAGCCTTCTAGTCCCTGCTGAGGAGAAGTATCCCTATAGCACAATTTACGACCCCTACTGTTAACGCAACAAAATGTGGAAATATAACAAGGTTCAGAACCCTAGCAAGACACTACATACATTTTTTAATAAACTGCTCTTATTCAAAACGAAACGATCAAATCGAGCACTGTTACATGCAAAAGAGGCTGAATGTCAGGTTTTTGACTTGGCCTTTCAAGGAAATTAACTCTCTTCTTGACGAACTACCCAGCTGGCTTTGCCTTTTGCCTTGTATGCTTGTTTCGCTGTTGCATACATTTTGCACCTTGTTTTTGACTTTTGGGCGATTTGAGGAGCAACACCACTAGGCCTGGCATGGGCTTTGCTCAGTTCTAGATACTCCTCGCCACTCATTCCCTGCTGACATGACGCCGCTTTCACAAACTTGATGGCATAAATAACCTTCTCCTGCTCTGTTCCACTCTACTACTACAGCACCGGTGTTTCAGAAGCTCCTCATCTTCACGGTTGATTTGTCACATTGATACATGAACTTGGATCACTAATTTGGTGAACTTTCAAACTGTTCTTCTACTCCAGAACTGATTTAAGGTTCTGGTAACAAGGGGGTTAAACGCTGAGGAACACCTTCTTTTCTTTAAACATCTAATTTCTAGATTTGAATCATTTTAAACATGCAAATGCATAAACTAGAAATTTACACATCAGCACCTTTGATCTCTGACTTTGGACTAGTCTAGACTGTGACAATTTTGATGTCCCATTTGAAAGTAATTTTAAGCTCAAGTGGCATTAAAAGATCCAAACTTCCCAGGGGGAAATAGTCATGCAGTGCACTGTATATGCAAGCTATCACAGATATGTATTATTTAGATTGTGCTTGTACTGCTTTTCGGTGAATAACGGTTTTAACTAAAACATTGTATTGTAATATAACCATTTAAGTCAAATTCTAAGTGAAATACCTGAGACACTGAAGTTAGAATTTACAGTAGGAAGACAGAGCAAAGCTGTTGGCTTAAAGATCCCACCAAAGAATCACAAGCTCATCTACATTACACCCAAAACATCCTACTGGCCCACAGCACTGTGGGAAAGCTTCTACAGGGCTGGCAGTGCTGCAACACAGCACTGCACTGAATACATGATGCACAAGATGTTAGAAAACAGGTGTTACAGAAGCAAAGATAAGTTCTGTTGACACATCACCAAAGAATACAGAACACCAACATTCAGAACAATGAACAGCACCCCACCATTCCAGCCTGAACCAACCAGAAGATTCTGGCAAACTAAAAATCAAATGAAATGTATTTTTTTTGTATTCTGTCCGAGACAAAATTGAAACAAGTGATTACTTTTTGCTCCATTTGAAATGCAAGTTAGTTTAATTCCAAATGAGAGGAATTCCTCTAAAAAAAAAGACTTCTCTCCAATAAAAAAAAAAAGATAAGGCATGCAAATCTCTATATTCAAATTTCTGTCTGGAATGCATTCCAATCCTTCAAAAGCTTAAAACATGAGGGTGTTACAACCCTGCCTGTGACATGTAAGATGCATTGATGCACTAAAGCCATTCAAAAAGTATGTTGCCCAACAAAGACTGACTTTCTAATGTGACCTGATACAGTACTGACCTCTGGAAAAAATGGTGTCCACTTACCCTGAAACTTTTTTAAAAGATCTTAAAAGCTATGCAGCTATGCATAAAACATACTGGAAACCTATGGGCATAAAATGCACTGTATGGAGGTAGTCTTGAACCGTTTCTGTCAAAACGACAAGGTACAAACAGTACTATAGTTATAGCAAATTCTCAGCAAAGATGCGACAAAATCCTCTTGTAGAAACAACGGTCAGGAAAACATCCAAATTTGTCATAAAATAGATGTGAGCTCCTGAAATTCAAAAACATCACAATGCACATGATATATGAAGAGGCACTGTAGAAACTGACCACATAAAGACATGATTGACTTGCACTGTATTGTATTTTTACTTCTCAGCTTGTTTGACAAGTTTGCCCAGAATCATCCTGACCTATTCAAATATCAGTCTTGATACTTCCATGGGGCTAACATAAACACGCTCCAGGCAAGTGCTAATCTGACTTAAAGAAACACTACAATTATTCTTTCCCACAATGAACTGTCCAGAGTTGGTCTAAAGTTCAAACCTTTTCTTCCTTCTGTGCAGATCTGGATCTGGACACACTGGGAGACAATGCCATCAAGCATCAATTACTCACCAGTATCTCGCCTTAGTTTTTTACTTTATTTTAATCAACTGAATATCATTATGAGTGATACCACTTCCATTGCTAATGTAAATGCACAATACATCACAGGTTAGTGTCTCGGTTTACTTTGAGCCTGAAACAAACTCTTATCAGAGAAGTGGGAAGCTGCATTGTAGAAAATAAGGGTACAAACTGACACAGGGTTTGGTTAAACCAGTAAAGTCCTGGTGTACCAAAAGGTGGCTAAATATTTATGAAAACAGTTGTGCGTTAAGAAACTAGAAAAATCAGGAATAATAACAATGAATATTTCTACTGGCAAGTCACACTCTAGATAGGTGTGTAAAGACACATACTGGACACAAACATGACAAATGTGTTCAAATATGTCATCGCGCAAGACCTGCTTTCTCAAAATATGAAGTTTCACATTGCTAAGCAAAGAAGACTTTACAACTTAATAGTTATAAACCTATAGGAAATAAAAAAGGTGCCTCTGCAAATTTCCTTAACAACTACGTGGCTGTTCAAAATAACAGACCTGAGAGGTAAAAAGTACAAGGGCTACTAGTAATTGAAAGAAAACAGCAGGACTCACCTGCAGGACTGCTGGTGTCCTCTGGCTGCTGGAACTGTATTCCGGGCGAGGTTATAGAGTTGACGGTCACTGTCTGCAGGTTGGGGATCTGGCTGGTACTGATGCTAACAGGTGTGGACCCCAGGGTCCCTCCCTGCCCCAGAGAGAGGGTCTGCACAGGGGCCAGGGTGATCTGCTGGGCAGGTGCGTTGGGCAGCTGGAGGTTCTGCAAGTTCTGAACTCCCTGCACCTGGAAAGTCTGCCACTGGATCTGCCCAGAGGGGGTCACCGTCTGGGCCTGTATCAAAAAAGTCCCTGGATTGAGCAGCTGCAAGTTCTGCAGGGCTTGAGGAGAGATGGTCTGCCCTGTGGCCTGAACCTGCTGCTGGGAGAGTCCCTGGATGACCTGGGCTTCACTGGTGCTCTGCGCCTGGACCTGCTGCAGCTGGATGATGGGCTGCGCCGTGGAGACCTGGATATTCTGCACCTGGTTCTGGTCCGACAGAGCCGTCTGGATGTAGTTTTCCTGAAGGCTGGAGGGATCCACCTGCTCGCTGGCCGAGGAGGAGGACGTAGCTTGATGAAGCACACCTGTACCGTCTATCGTTTCGTGCAGCTGGGAAGAGGAGGTGGTTGGCACGTACATGTCTTGGTTAGTGTTGGAATTGTTTGCAGATAGTGTTTGGGAAAGGTGCTCACCAGTCTTTTCGGAGCTGTCCGAGTTGTCCATAGCTTGGCCAGTCATGATCAACTGGCCGTCAGAGGTCACCCCTGTAGCTATGGCCTGAGCAGCACCTGAAAGCCCTAGGGAGTCCAGATCAACACTGTTGATCGGTACAAAAGTAATATTTCCAGGCAACCCCACAGGCACATTAGTAACAACCTGACCCTGGCTGTTATATGTGGAGCTGCCGAGAGAAACTCCTTGAATCTGGACAGGCCCACCAGGATGATGAACGTGCCCAGCCTGCGATATGAGGTTCTGGCTGTTAGTAAGGATGTCTGCAGAAGATGTCCCGGCAACGGTTATGCTTTGATTCCCATCAGGCATGATCTGGATCTGCCCTGTGGCATCCTGGCCCAGAGTTGCCCCATCTACCGCAGAAGTTGAAAAGCCCAGCTGTACCTGCTGGCCATCTGCAGTCTGAATCTGTGGAATCACCTGGTACTGTATATTAGGCACTGCGCTGGCAGAGGTGTCTGTTCCTGAAGTTACAAAAATCTGTTGGTTTTGCAGATTCTGAATTGGAAGAACATACTGTCCATTTGATGTTACTATCCCTGTATTCGGAATCTGGACTAAGCCTGGTTCCTCCTTTATCGTTGCTGTAGGTGCCAAGACTTCCCATCTATTAGCTGTCCCTGTTAACTGTATGGAAGTGAGATCTGCAGGCTAAAACACAGACAAAAAAAAAGGTGACCGGAGTTAATTTTCTGCCAGAAATTCCTAGTAAATGCATCAGTTGTTGTTGTTTTTTTTGTGAACTGTAGAGCAAAAAGCACTTGGCCAAATGAAAGTCATTTTTACACTAGCATTTTACTAAATGTGTTACTAAGTGGAAATCAATAAGCCGCCAGCGATAAGATAAAAAGCTACACTTTTCATGGGAAAGTCGACAGCTGGAGGGGATTTGTAAGACATCACTGATTTATTAAAGGAGTGTAGCCTATTTGCAAAAGATCTGGGTGAAAATATAGATTTCTCCTGCTCTTTCACTGCAGGAGTGAAATTATTGTGGTACTGGTTCTCTATGCCACAAGGCTTCAGCTCAAACCTATCGATACCCTGCAGAGCACTTTCAAGTCTGTGGTACTATTAGAAATGAAGGCAAGCCAAGATTTTTCTTATAAGCTGAAGGCAGGTTTATATATTGTACATAGTAGGCATAATCGAGAAATGTAACTGATCTGAAATGGTGTAGTGTCACAAAAAAAGACGAATAAGTGTAAGGGGGTAGAGAAAACGAAAGGCTGGCAGCCTTTTCAAACATAATTAAATCACGTCAGTAATAAAAGGCACATTTAAAAAAAAAACGTTTCTTTTACACTGCTTAACAAGCGATTTAACAGACCTCATCACCCACTGATCGATGAATAATTGGAGGAATTAAATTCATCTCTTGAAAGAGGAAAAAAAAAGCAGCATCCGGACACCAACAGGCACTTTGAACCCACGGCCATTACACACTGCTTTTAATTTCAAACCTCAGCTCGTCGCTTTATTTGTCAAGGATCAGCGTGTCGTGATCATAATGCATGGTTGGATGTTACTCTGAACACCGGGTTTGCTTCAGCACTGGGGCTGACTTAGCGCTCTGCCGGCCGTGGCTGTTTTTGTGTTTACAGTCCACGCTGCAGTGCATTTGCACAGGGCGGGCTGCTGGTTTCGGTTCGGCTACGGTTCTAGCAGCGGGGGTGACTTACCACGCCAGCGACAGCACAGCCATCCTCCTCTGGCGATGGCGACCCGATCTTGCTGCAGGTAGCTGCTAGCAGAGCGAGCGGTGACGGCTGAGTGTCCTACCCACAATGGGCGGGTTTAAAAAGAAGAAAGTGGGTGGCCGTTAGTCCGGAGCTACACAGGAAGTACGACTTTTTTTTTTACAACATCAAATTTTAAAACGTGTGAACTTCACAAAAAACACCATGCATTTACAACAAACCTGGCAGAAGAGCAAGCGAGGGGCAGCTAGGAGAAAAAATTACCTGGTTTCCTCCGCCGCCGCCGTGCTGCAGATAGTCGCTCTGACTGCTGTCCACGTCTAAGGCAGCCATTTCCTCTTGTTTCACTGGCTTTTCAGGGGCTACAGAAAGGCACAGAGAAGAGGGAAACAGAGCAAAACAAATCATTCCTCTCCACTTTCCGCTCGCCAAAACCACACTAAACAGCATCCAAACTCCACACGGACGCACAAAACTCCCAGATTGACTCCCGACAGGATCGTTTCTGTTAGGATTTCGATGCAAATTCTTTAAAGCTTTAACTTTAGCGTTTAAATCGCAACTGCTGGCTTGTGCCGCTGCTGAAAAAAGATTAAAGACTTAAGGGTTACACAAACTCACCGGTGATGGTGTGCTTGAATCAGTTTAAATGTTACGTACCAGTCATAGCGTAAATGGTTTAAATCGTGAGATTCTCGATTTATTTAAACGCCAAACATGATTATTTTAATCAAAGGCGGGCTGCGATCGGTGATTCGAGTCGATTTTTTTTCTATTTTGATTGACGGTGCGGGAAACACAAAAGGTGGGGCTTCCAGGCTTGACGGTAAAGTTTGCGTCACGCACAGGAAGTTCCGCCTTTCTTCTTTAAAGTGATTGGTTGGTGCGGATGGTTTCCTCGGTTGGCAGTAGACAGAGGGTCCGTCGCTCATTTTTTGTAGCTCGAGTGTTTCCTGTTTGTTATTCATGGAGCTGTAGGCAAATGCCAGGAAGTTGTTCAAAGAACGAATCGGCCATTAAAGTTGTTATATTGTCACGGAATGCCGAATGTTTACGTTTTCGCTTTTTATAGAGCCTAACTACTGTACAGTGATTGTGTTATCGTTACAAAATAGAAACGAGGCGTTTGTTTCTAAACTCACACTTGAACGTCTGTGAGAAAAGATTAGGCGAATTCGTCTATTTTAACTGGGCTACAGTTTAAACTACAGTTTTCAACATTGAATTCTTTTTGTTCTAATATTTTGCTAACGATTCTTTAAAATAAGAAAGCTATGCCGAATTGGTGTACCCGGTGACAGCAAATTGCTTTCTAAAATGCACATATCCTAAAAATAATATGTACACAGGATAACTGAAGCGTAAAATGTGAAAACCTGTAATACTTTAGGGTTCAATTCAGCTATGTGCGATCACGAAATCACGCTATAAGAAAGTGGTTTATGGACGTGTTGCACACCACATATGAGCTCTGCGAAGCTGCCACAGTTCTTTGGAGTCATAAGGATAGAGCTTACTCACCGAATGATACAGGCTGTCCGCTTATGTTAAATGTATAGCACACACTGGACGTTATATTACTGTATATCCTTTTGCCAACTATTTTGAAAAAATGCCTTTGAAGTTGGATATATGAAATACACGAAGTCACAGTGTTTTAGTTCAATAAATAATGCCTTACAGTCCTCCCGAATTCCACGTGCAATGTATGTTCCACCCATCAACAAAACCTCTACCACAGAGAAACAGAAGTTCAGAGAACCTGACAGTAATATACAGTTATTCCAGGCTACTCAAAATAACGTATAATAATTATTTTCAGTGCTCATTCTAGCAAACTCACTTAAGCTTACTAACCAGATATTATCTGAACAGTAGGTTCGTTTTAACTGCCAAACATATGTGGTGTGGCGACACTCAGAATATCATAGCTGCCAGTTTAATTTACATCCAAACAGAAACTGTTGTGTGTGAAAGAAAATTGAAACTAATGGTTAAACAATTCAGATATATATACGCTGGTAAGTGGAATCCATACTGGTTCTTTATCTGATGAAAAAAGAAAAACATTCCAGGCAGATTACATGAAAAGCCTTCCTTTTTTAATGGAGAACACTTTAGGCTTACTCTTTATTTTAAAAAAATGCTGTCTAGGCATTACTCTTTCTCTTAACCACATATTTGTGTCGTCTTCTTTTTTTTGTCTTCACATAAGTACCCTGTGTTGCACCCATTGCTTTCTGGGATAGGCTCTGACTCCCCCATGACCCTGAATTAGAAGAAGCAATTAGAAGGTGGATGTCTAGATCATATGTGCTTTTACCTTTACACCTAATACTGGATCTCCCCCTATTAAGCCAGTTTCCAAATAAGTGTGTTAAGGCCATACCACGCTTACTCTCTGTAGTAATATACTGTATATTACTATATTGTACTGTGTTGAATTACCCCCCTAATCCATGTGTTGTTATTACTCCACTGCCAAATACATGCACTTATCTCTTCCTGCATGGTAAATATTTTTAAAGTATTTTGCATTATCATATCAAGTATTGCATTATTTTGCTGTCCGTTTTATAAATAAGTTTATGATATTGATCTATGCAACTATAAGTTCACTTGCATAAGGGCTTCTGTTAACAACAAGACATCATCAATGGTATCCTCGTCACCGATGGACAACAGTATACTTCACTGGCAAATTTGACAAATATTATGATTTCTGTTTTGACCGTAGTAGCCAGCACGTCAGGGGTGTGATGACAGTTTGGTGAATGTATACTTCCAAATCATGTAGAGGAACACATTAAGTGCTGCATGAGGAAACAGACTTTATGATATCCAGGTTGTCACCCTAGTCATTAGACTGTGATACCATGGAATAGGACATTTGGCCTAAACTTTATTTGGACTGATTCTGTGACCCATCACAGAAGGATCAGCAATTTCTTACAGCTTATCCCGAACAGGAAAAATGAGGATTCACACTGAGATCTGATTCTGAACGCATTGAAGCAATGTGAGATACTGTCTAGGCAACAGCAGAACTCTGCAGGAGCTGTAGGACAACATTGTCTGGGACGGAGCTCTAACAGCAAGATCAGCCTCACACTTGTGGGATGTGGTTGCTTCCTGAGTGACTCCCCAAAAGATGGCGCACAACTGACTGAGCGTGACTAAAGGTGGTATGTGAGATTAGTCAGCATGGGTTCTCTCTCAGCTCTCAGTGACACAGAGCCCCCCCTCCTCCGCCTCTTTTGCAGGCATGGGGTTCTGCTGCTCGGGTATGTGCCTCATCTCCAATCGGTGCTGAACCTCCAGTACAGGATTGTGTTGCTCACGTTGTGTTAAAAGACAAATCCTAAAGATGGATGTGTCTGAGGAATCTACCTACAACTGTGTGCAGCCAAACAATTTGCACTTGCGATTCAGACTTGTTAAATAAATGTTTGTCTTTGTATGTGCTCTGCCAGTTTTGTGTTGGTATAACATAATTGGCATTTCTACATGTATGAAGTAGGTTTGTAAGGGTTTCATCAGGTGGTACGGTGGCTCTGTGGCTAAGGATCTGCGCCTGTGGCTGGAAGGTTGCCGGCTCGTATCGCGTAGCTGGCAGAGGAATCCTACTCCGTTGGGCCCCTGAGCAAGGCCCTTAACCCCAACTGCTCCAGGGGCGCTGTACAATGGCAGACCCTGCGCTCTGACCCCAAGCTTCTCTCCCTGTCTGTGTGTCTCATGAAGAGCATGCTAGGGTCTGTGAAAAGACTAATTCCTAATACAAGAAATTGTATATGGCCAATAAAGTTATCTTAGGTGTTTCAAACTGTTTTCACTACATCCTGAACGTATACAAATACATAGGAAGTGAGACAGCCTAAAAAATGTGCTCATGACCAAACATGGAAGTGAAATTTCACAATCTTTGCATGGAGGATGTAGTGCCATCAATTGTTCTCAAAGTCTCTTCTCTTTGTTTTGCACTGAAGGTTAAACTGCATATCAAGAGCATGTGCCATTCAATAAATTCACACAGTATTCATGAAAATCCTGATCCCCAGCAAATGCTTATTAGCAGATATTTCATCAACACTTCTTTACTCTATATATTATCAAAGGGTAACTGAGCCCTCAAGCATCTATACAGCTACTGTATGTTAGTGTGGAAAATACCTCATTTCATTTTAATAAGCGGACCTTGAACTAAATGAACCCAATGGTATACAACGCCATACTTCACTATAAAAACTATAAAAAAATACAACCCAATATGCCTCAAGTATCCTGCATATAATAGACTATACATTTGGAGTTTTACTGAGTGGAAACATATGCCTTAATTCAGATGCAGGATTATACAAAACACTGTGTTGGAGTTAATCAACAGGCCTGTTGATGATACTCAGTGGCTAGTTGGTATCCTGAATGGCTTTCTCCAAGACTTCATTGGTAGATCGGGTTGCTTAAAAATGACAAACCAAATAAGCAGTTCTGCATTTCAACATCATCAATATTCCCTACAACAAGCTTTTTTTGTTCCTAAACAGAACGTTTGACATATTTACATGTATTTGGCATTATTGGAGTGACGCATGCAATTATAGTTGCAATTGTTTTTTAGTTTCTTCTATTGTAGTAAGCAAGATGAGGGAAATTGTGCTTAGTATTGCAATTATCTTGTGTCTTACCACATAGCAAATATGCAGAAATAATAGATAAATAGAAAAAAAAAAACATGCCTGCATCTCCATTTTGTGGAAACCTTAGACACAAATGCCCTGTTTTCATCTGTTACCAACAGGGAGTCTGATTTCAAGTTACTATGTGGACATATTGTCTCAGCCACAATTCCCATCAGCAGGGCGTAAATTTAAATTTTTTCCAACAAAGACTATGGGGCATCTGGTATTGATTTACATATTGTTATATGTCCTTATATATTTCTGTATGTACACAGGATGAGTTCCCATGCATATACAGTATGCGTTCCTTTAAAGTAAACTACGAGTAACTGATGTTCTTTGGAAAAACAGACCTCTTTTTAACAAACCCCAAGATTCAAAATAAGCACTACTGAGCATCCTTCATGCTGTGTCATTTCCTCTGATATTGTGATGGGAACAGAGTGATTTCATCAACCTGCAATTCAGACTCTGACCATTAGAGTCGGACTACAAAGCACTTCCCTTGCGCTCAGGGGCTCGTGGAAACAAATGACGGATACTTCTAATCACTTTCCTGTCACTCCTGGTGGCAGGTGAAATCGGGGTTGGGAGGAAGGCCTTAGAAAATCTGTTTCACTGTGTCTAAATGCATGTGTCAGGGCAACTCATCCACAGTTCTTTCTACAAAGAAACTGGGTAAAAAAAGTCTAATTTCCACAACCTTTTATGAGGCTGGAAAAAAGGACAAATATCTCATCTCCAGTCTTCACTAACAAAAAGAGATCTCAGTTAAGAAAAGTAGTGTTTGAGAGCTTTGTGCATGAGATTGGGAATTTAAAGAACTGCAAATCTACACAGTGCAAGTGTGTATCATTTCCTCGAATGTATTAGGTGGCAGGCCACTGCACACACCACAGAGAACTCAACCATTTGAGAAGCAGAGCAGAAACACTGTATGCCAGAATGTAGTGGTGCTATCGATTGATTCAATTCCAATAATTGCACTAGCAGAGAACACTGTGTATTGACTTTTATTGCATGAAAGATGGCAGATGTCTTTTACATCAAGTGACTGTCTACGCTAACATAGGAGGAGGTTTGATAAGTTTTTTGAATTTGTAAAACCAAGATGTCTTGAATGATCCTAA